CCGACTTGCATGTGTTGTTTGTGTCCTTTGGACGAGAGGACGTCTCTCAGATCCCTTCAGTCCTACAGTGACAAGCTTTGGCACAGAAACACCATAGGACGAGATGACGCATCACAACACGGTGCTAATGAGGGACACTCATGCAGGCCTCGCTCCCGTACTGGAGGAGATAAGGTCAGTGAACCCCAACATGCATCGCTACCATACTGCCAGGGCAACGAGAGAGCGGCCGAGTGGCAGAGGAGAGGCTGGGAGGGAGGGGGTGGAAGTAGGTTTTTCAGAGAGGGGAGAGATGAAAGGAAACGGCTCAAATGCACGACCACAGCAGAGGGATGAGAGGAGGGTTTTTCCCGCCGTAACAGAGGGTAATGACAGCGAATAACGGCTACTAAAGGAAATGATTCATTTCAGGGACACGGGTCAAAAAGATAACAGCGTACATGATGATTTCAGGGTGGTGGTTTACCAGCTTCTCCTCCGTTTCTCTCTATCCCCCTCCATCTCACAGAGATGACTCCACCTCTCTGGTGACGGTAATCTCGGCGTCGGACAGGGGGGGCACCTGATCGCCTGCAGCCTGCTCGAGGGTCTCGCTGATCACCTCCAGGGCAGAGGCGGCAGCAGCCTTTCCGTCGCCGATGGCCTTCATATCTTTTTTGTCAGCAGAGCCGCAGCACAGCTTGGGGGCGCACTGAGTCCGACAGGAGAGCTCACAGAGGGAGTCTCGAGACTCCGAGCTGAACGTGACAAACTCGGGCTGGATGGTGGTGGCGTGGATTCCCTCGTTGTGGAAGAAGTCCTTGATGCGCTTGGCCACCTCCATGTAGGAAGTGGGGTCATGGCACTTGATGTGCGCCGTGGCGATGATGCGGCTGCCGGCCAGCTGCCAGATGTGCAGCTCGTGGATGGCCAGGACACCCTCCAGAGTCAGCAGCCGCTCATTGAGCCGGTGCATGTTGATCTGCTTGGGCACGGTCTGAAGCAGAATGAGGGCAGACTCTTTGAGCAGTGGGTAGGTAGTATACAGCAGGATGCACACCATGATGATGCAGAGGGTGGGATCCAGGTAGAGGACCCAGCAGGGACCGGCCAAACTTCATGGCCCAACATAGTGGGACCCTCCACCAGGTCAACCAGCGTGTGGTTGACGTGCTGGTGGTCCGTGGAGTGGCTGTTGATACAGGGGTTCATACACGTCTCTCCTTCTATACAGGGCTGCCACACGAAGGTGAATATTATAGCAGTGACCACCACAATGACGGAGCCGAGGGCGTCACCCAACACGTGCAGGAAGACGCCACGCATGTTGAGCTGCGACGTATCTAGATCATGGTCCATGTCCTCAAAGTGGGGATTGCCATTCATCTGCACATCTGTGCTGTCTTTACAGCTGATTTCTAAAAGATACAAAAAACAATGGTTAGTTTAGTTTACTGGAACTTGAAGTTAACTTTTAATAATTACCTGGACTACGACACTGATATACTAACACCATTTCAAAAGTGAAGAAGTTGTAACAAAAATATAATTTTGACCGTAAGAAACAGGACAAACAACAAAAAGATAATTCTGTTGACAAAACAAAGCTGTAACAAATTAGCCAGCAATATGGGGATTCCAAGAAGATGCTATCAGTGGCAGCCAGTTACTCAATTGCTCAGTTATGTCATTTGGGGCAAAGCACAAACCCATTTGAAAGCAGCCAGATGTCAGCCTGCACTGTTATCAGTTGACACGTGTTGGAGCTGCTCAATTCAAAGTCAGGAGGAGGAGGAGGACCCAGGGCAATTTTCTAAGACATTCTGTCTGATAATTTGACATATTAGTGTTTTTCCCCCTGCTCAAGCTTTCATTGTGGAAGACAACAGGTCACTGAGCTGGTGCTAGAACTGCTCAGGTCCACAAACATGAGAATCACGCCATGCTGGATTATATGTAAGAAAACTCCCAGCATGTGATACACTCACATCAAGCAAATGTAATAGTCATTGCAGGCTGGTGGTAGCGTATACAACTCGGAGGGAATTGCACCTGAGTAATGGCTGCTCTCTTCCATCCCAGGACACTGCCTGGTCATTTATCAACAGCTAATGGTGTTGCTTGGGCAGTCGGCTCCATAGTTACACAGATGTATGACCCAGTAACAGCCAGCAGTGTATGGAGGGGGTGGGGGGGTATTATTGAAACTGGCAGGGCCTAACAGTGTGGGGGGAGAAATGTCCTTCTGTATGGGTTTAACCCTTCAGTGGACGACGAGGAGGAAGCACAGCCGCAAACTCAAATGGCTGTTTGTGCCTTTATTGTCAACACGCAGACACTAACCTGTTAGCTGACCACCACTAACAGAACAAATGATGAGGGGTTTAAAACATATTCTTGTAGCTTCATCACTATTGAATGACTCCACTTGCTGTTTATGAGAAATTGCGGGAGGTGTAAGAATAATGCATGAGAGGTGAAGGAATTTGGAAATATGAGACACTTTTACAAGTTAAAACGTGTTAAAAAAAACCGGAAGTTACTTGGTTGAATCTGACAGCAGTTTCTAGAAATGTCTATGTCTTCAAACAAAGCCTGAAACCTGATGCTTTGTCTGTTTATGTCACTGAAGCTGGCCACGTTTCCATGGATTAAATGACCCTCCAATATATATCTGATAATAAACACATTTGTCTCAATGCTACGGCTATAGATGAAACAATGAGGATTAGTCACTCAGACAGGCTGTCCCCGGGGAACACTGGAGATATATGTTTGTAATGTTGTGCAATCTGCTAATAATGGAGACAAAGTCTGGCACATGCTGTCATGTGGGACACAATGAGGCTGGACTCACACGTTTAGGACTTTTTATGCTGACATGCACTCTGTGACATTGCACAATTTATCACATGTAAGACAAATAATGCAACAAAAACAAATCTAAAAACACAATAAATACAGCTTCAACAGTTTATACTCACCATTTTGAGGTCTCACGTCCCCTTGGCTATTGTGATTTCCCACCAAGTTGTTAGTCTCCTCTCCCGAAGACCCATTCCCAGAATTTTCGCACTGGCTGTTTTTACCCCTCTTGTTCTTATTTCCATGAGAGTGGCCTCCATGGGAGTGTCCGTGTCCGCTGCCTGCGTGTCCGTGGAACAAGCAGAGACCGAGCAGGTTGATCAGCAGCCCCCCGGCACCGACCCCGGCGACCACCAAGGGGCTCTCGATGGCATGCGGCTCGGTGTAGCGCTCCACAGCCTCCAGGACGATGGTGAAGCACAGCGCCGTGAGGAAGATGGCGTTGACCAGAGCCCCCATCACCTCCGCCCGGATCCACCCGAAGGTGTTTTTGTCGGTCGAATGGGTTTTTTCGGCGAATCTCACCGCCACCAGAGCCACTATCAGCGCAATGACGTCCGATAGCATATGAAAAGAGTCCGAGAGCATCGACAGAGAGGAGGTCATCCGGCTGACCACCACCTCCACGATGAAAAACACAAAAGTCAATGAAAGCATGCATAGCAGCCGGACACGATTAGGCTCGCAGGCCATTTTCCCTAACTAGCAGTCCTTTGTCAAATTAAAAAAAAAAAGGTTTCCCAGTGTTTTCAGCTAGCTAGCGTTCAACACAAGCTAACAATTTACGGTAAGCTAGCTTGCTCCCTGAGACAATACGATCGATGCTAACAGCGTCTTCACACACTGTTGTTATCCAGCGACGGCAGCATCACCAGGGTATATATAAGAACAACCACGGGCACACATTAATCCAACCGAGTCTAGTAACCTTGTGAGTAGACCGTGGTCGACACCAGCATATTCTAGAAACGTTTGCCGACGAGCTCCCGTTTGCAGACGGCTAAAACTTTGCACCCGAGCCGGTAAACTTTCCACACGGACCACGGCACAGTTGAGCACGCCCAGGGCCATTCCTATTGGTAGAGAGGACACATGCTCGAATCTGGTTGGTCAAATTGTGCAACTCTCGCAAGTGGGCGGAGGAAGCAAGCCAGACAACAGCCGTTGCTACGAACGCTAACCACAAACGTACTCTCGCGATAACTTCACGAGATTAATTTACACTTCATAATGATTATACATTTTCATCCTGATTCAAGACCGCGCATGAGACAAAAAAACACTTACACAGACAAATACAAAAATTGTCTTTAAAAAAGTATAAAACAGAATAAAACATAAAGTATCCGTAAAATAACTAAATCCTTTAAAAAGAATGACAAAGCAATTGTTAGGTCAAGACCTTCATTGGTCATATCCTTTTTTAGTTATATATAGTGATTTTTGGCATGTTTTAATTTAATTAATTTCAGTCATTCTACGGTTTCAGAGTTTCGTATTGTAGTACATAAACAAGAGTAGGATCCTTTTTACATTTTACGTGATGAATACGTTTAGATGCTGTTGGCTTATAAAGTCATATAAAAAATAGTAGCCTTTTCAAATATAGAAATGTGTCAATTATTGGTTTAACAAATATGTATTTATTGTAAGTCGCTTTGGATAAAAGCGTCAGCTAAATGCAATGTAATGTATTTCTTTGTTCTGCCTTTAATAACCCTTTATAATTGTTTTACTGTTAATAATTGAATGGGTATGTTCCTCTACCTGCACCATTTAAAAACTTTTTTTTTCTGTAAAAGAATTTAACCCAACATAACATGGACAATTAACATTCAATGTAATACCTATGTTTTCACAGTCGGAAACCTTATAGTTGTTGTCTTTTAATGTAATCAACTGTAGCCTCGTGATCTGTTATTGTACAAATCAAAGTATATAACAAATGTCCCTTTTAATTAAACACCTCTAATCTGCTATTAATCAAGAACCAAACGATTTACAGGTGTGAAGGCTTATTGCTGAGTTTCCTGTAATTACTGACACCAGCCCATCAACACAGTGGTTAACTGATGACCCCTTGTGGGAGTTATCTGTCTTGATGAAGCAGTCATTGTCATATCATTGGTATGTAAATGAACAAGTAACTAGCTTGAGTGATTTGTTTGACACATTTATTAAACAACATGTATGTTTATGTATTTTACTACGACAAACTGAGCATCTTAGGAACTGAGAATGTCTTTAAGGGTGGGTAATGTACCTATTGTGTCGTAATTATTTAAAACTACAATTAGTAGTTTTTAAATCTGGTAATGTAAACGCTTAAATTCACAATCAGTCAATTTGCATAGTTCAAATGTTCACAAAGATTGCTCTTCATATACTATTATAACTTGTCTAAAAATAAGTTTTAACATTTGGTTGTAGATACAATTTGCCCTGTTTATGCCCATTTCTAAGCAGTTTGTAAGAGAAACTTATATTCAACAGAATATACAGTACATTTATAATAAACCATCTTTAAAATGAGTACATCCACACATCAAACTTAATGAAATTCTTGACATTAACATACACATGACACTAAAGAGGATTCAATCAGTTTGCTTCACCATAGAATCATCAAATAAATACAGCTTAATTTACATCCAAATCCAGTTACAACGACTAGCCTTCAGAGGCTTTAACAAATCAGTCACATGTCAGACAGGGGTATCTTTGAGATCAGCGGATGCCGAGTATCTGCCTGCTCTTGAACTGACATGTCTTCTCCACTTCATTCAGTGTCTGAGCGCGCAGGTTGGCCGCATGCAGCCTCCTCATAATCATCTCCTGGGACGTCCCGCTCAGATGCCCATCAGGCCGCTGGTTCTCTTTGCTCTCACCAGCAAAGTGGACTTTCTTTGTGCCCGGAGAGAGGTTCTCCAAATCTAGGACCAAACAGTAAGGAGGTTCTGATTAACTTTGATCAAGCAGCCCTCATAACATTCTTTGCAATCCAACATGACAGCTAGATTTCACATAGTTAGGGTGAGTAATAATTCTTTATTTGTGTATAAATACAATGTTTACATGAATAAATAAGTAATAAATATGATTTCAGTCATTCGCATCAACAGAAGCATGAACCCATTAAAACATTGTTCACTAGTTGTCTTGGTTCAGTACATGCAGAGGTATCTGTCTTATCCCCATACCTATGTCTTTGCCATCCCTCTGCTGCTGCAGGCGGTTGCAATTCTTCAGTAAACTCTCTGCTCTGTAACCATAGATCAGAATAAAGAGTTAGTAACAATTAGGTGTTAAGAAGGACATGTAAGCAAAATAAAGTAAATGATGTATTGATTGTTTTATTTCTAGACTCCTAAAAAACAAACAAGTGTACCTTGCGAGTTTCTCATTTGACAGTCGCTCACGGACACAAAGCTCCTGCTCTCTTTCTGCATGAAGGGACATAAGACACCATTACATATTTGCACAAACTTGAGAGGAATATATGAATTGAAATATATCAGTGCAATACTATCTACACCTAAACAATGATGTAGAGGAACAAAATCACAAAAGAAAATGCAGGTCAGCAGGGGTCATACTGGGCTGGCATGGATCAAAGAAGAGTAGAAAATAATCTTACGCTCCAGCCTCTCCTCACGTTCCTTCAGTGCCTTTTCTCGGTCGCGTAGCGCTTGCTCCCGGAGTCTGAGCTCTGCGGTGGGAGCGGGTGTCGGGTCAGCCGCTTTGTTAGGAGGACCGTCGGAGTCTGCCGCCCTCCTTTGGAGTCGAGCCTGTGCCCTCCTCAGCTCCTCAGCAACCGCCTCGGCCAACAGGCTGCTCTGGAGAATAGACTCCACAGAGGGCCTCAGATAGTCCTAACCATAAACAAACATTATTACTGAATCCTACCTTCGTGAAAACACAACCCGACTAGCTGGTAGCACAAGTAAATTCTCTGTCAAAATGATTTCTAACCTTCAGGTTGAGCATTTTGCACAGTAAGTTGTTGAGTTCCTCAGAGTACCGGTACGGGATTCTTCTGAACTTCCCCTCCCTGATCTTTACTGCAAGTTCTTTTTGACGGTAGGCAGTAAATGGAGGGCTAAACAAAAGGAATCCAGGAGAAATGTCAGAGTCACAGTAAACAAACCACCTGCTGGCAAATTAGCTCAAGCAGAGGAGTAAAAAGACACTTACGACAATGCACAGAGTTCATACAGCAAACACCCCAGGGACCATATATCTGACTTCTCATTGTATGACATCCGGTCTATTTGTTCCTGGAAGAAAATGTTTGGACAAATGGTGGCAGATCAGACGACAACGAGTTATAATGTTAACAATATTTGTCTTTAAATGAAAAGGGTAATTTGGTAAGACACAGCAGATTTAAACAACTCACTGGAGACATGTAGTAAGGTGTGCCGACAAATGTCTTTGCAAAACTGGTGTCATGGTTCAGGATCCTCGCGAGGCCAAAGTCTCCGAGCTTCACATTCTGTTTGATGTCGAGGAAGATGTTGGCTGGTTTCAGGTCTCGATGAAGGACTGTAGCCCTGCCGTCACTGCGTTTGTGGCACTCCTTCAGGGCCAACATGAGCTGTGCCATGACTCGCAGGACAAACTGCTCCTCCAAATAACGACTGGAATGGTAAAAATACACACTTTGTTACCCCTGCATACTGTCAGGAAGCGGATGTACAGTGGAGGGAAAGAAAAATAAACATTTTACAATTGACAAAAGTATAACCCACCCTACTTTGATGCATTGGGCGATGAGGCTGGACAGGTCCCCACCCTCGCAGTACTCCATGACAATGTATAGCTTGGCATTAATCCGGTCTATGATGCGGTCATAGTACTTCACGATGTTTGGGTGCTTGAGCTCCCTCAGGAGGTTCACCTCTGACACCAGCATCTGCTTTTCACTCTCTCCCATGGTGCCATAGTCCAGCTCCTTCCACACAAGGATCTACAAAATAAAACTTGATTATTTCATCCTTGTAGAACTAAACAAATGTGAATAACTAAATTCATTTATGATACATTGTCAGAAAGTCAGTGGTATAACAATACATATCTAAAAAGGTCAAAAAAAGTGTAGCAGCAAAACCCCTGAGAATACCAAATTTAGTTTTATGCTTTACTAGTTTATCCTTTTAAGAAGTTTGTTTTGTTTGCGTTTTCAAAGTCACTTTAGAAATGTTTTACTTTAATTCACTGCTGCCCTTTTCAGCAGCTACTTCTGGAATGTTAAGTTCTCCATTTCCCAAGGTGTTATATTAAAATATAATTTCAAGCTGTAAATGGACGTTTTACATTTAAATGTTCAGTTAAACATCCATGGGGTCATGGCCAGATGATTATTTAACCACCTGATTGGGAAGCATCCGCCATAGTGTTTTTAATTAATTAAATTAACTACATCTGTGCATGTTCCTGCTGACAAACAGGTTTGACCTTTCTCCAGAGTTTGTTTGTTTTGGTAAATACATCACGTCATTTGCAATACATTTATGATGTGGCTTTATAAATCAGCACACAATAATTGAGCAGACTGTCTCCCTTGAAAAAGAGATCAATGATCTCAAGGGATACACCTGGATAAATAAAGGTTTGAAATGAACTAATAAACGGTGTCATGGCTGAACACAGACTTCCGTTCAGGTTAATGATAAACTACCTGAGTTACGTGTCAAGAGGGGAATGAACAAAACATTTGTAGATTACTCACTTTCCCATCAGATTTCCTTCTTATTTTCTGGCATTTCCCATAGGAACCCGTTCCTATGGTGAACAGCAACTCGTAGTCTTCAACACGGGACGGCATCTTAACGTTTTCAACCGAATCTAACGTTTAAAAGCTACCGGACTTTTCAATAACGTTAGGATATACTCGGCTGTAAACATAAAGTTTAACCAGCGACTTTAGAAATAGTCTTCAACTTTACTCATGTGTTGGTGATGTATTTTTCCCGATAAAGATGATTAAATACACCAAATGTTTGGCTTTTGGTCCTTCACTCGTGTGTATTGCAGTCAACAAAACAGGAAGCGTTTGCTCGCCGTTTAAATCGGTGCCCAAATACTCGATCGTGATTGGTCTGCTCTCTCCGCACAGTGACAGTTGATTGGTCAAAAGGCAGATACAAGTTGTGAGGCTGCTAAGCGCCTGAAACCCGCGAGAGTAGAGCGGGTAAATGAGATGTTCAACTTTCCGCAGGGTGGCGCCAAAAACTCACAGTCAGATCAAAGATGTTCCTATGTATTTGTTATATTAATTTTAACAGATGTCTATACCAATGATTATTATTTTTTATAGATTGAGTGCCACGTTTTTAAAAGCAATTAAAAAACATAACCTTGTGCTTGGGAGAGGGGTACTTCCCACACATTGTTGACAATTCTACAAACTAGAAGGGTTATACAAAAAATGACAATTCATTTGGTTTTGATAATAATTGTTAGTTCCACACCACAACCCAATTCAATTATTACGTTTATTTTCTTGCCTATTTAGACATATACAATATGTCTTTTGACAGATTACAGAAGTATTGTTAACACCGAGACATTAATTCTTTGTCTGTTCTTTGTTTATCTTGGAGGTATTGGACTTTTCGTGGTTACACAAGGATTACAGTTAATCAAATATAGCCTATCTCTAGGTTCCAAATACATAAGGATCATATTAAGTTATACACGCTGTGATCAAGTTAAATCCAGCTGGTTTTGGCTGTAGGCCTAGTATATCGTCCACATTTGTATTACATTTCTGATTCCCTGACACATAATTAAAAAGCAGCATTTCATTTAGTTTTGGCATGCTTCAATTATAGATGCTTGAATCCTACATGAAAGATATAAGATTATCTTTTATTACAGGCGGTCTTTGTTGTCTGATTGGTGCCTGAAATAAACACAGTTTTTCCGTCAGTAAAATCTCCCTCAGCGGGGAAGCCTCAGTAACAGTTGTGTTCAAATGATCCTCTCAGCCTCTTCTTGCTCTCTGCTGCCAGTACCACACACTGACACCACTCACACACTGACACCACCCAGAGAGCAGAGCCGGGCTGTCTGTCGGCCTGCCTCTGCAAAGGTCACTCATACAAAGAGCTGGAGGAGTTTGGACATCAGCCAGGAACAGTCGGAGGGAGGAGGGTAACGGAAAACTGTCAGCTAAAAACAACAGAGACAGTCAAGGTGCCCTGAGGGCGGCCACTCTCAAGGCCAGGAGTTGAGAGGGAGCGACAGACAGCTACATCACTGGGTAACCCCCGCTGGGGTCACTGTGATGCTGTGAGGGGATACAGGAGGCTTATGGTGCTCATGCCATCTCTGACTCCTTTTCTCTTTTGGATGCAGTTTAAGTCAAAAAGGCTTCACAACGCAAGATAAGAAACCTAAAGATGGCATTTGTTTTTTTAATTACCAAATAATGCTTTCTTTGCTATCCAGAACCAGAGAATGCCAATATATTAATCCAGCCAGGTTCTTATTTGTGTTGTGTTCAAGGACACATTCAAAGACTGCCTTTTAGTATATGCCTCAGGTCTGTGAGACACATGGAGGAGTCTCCACTGCCCCCCCCCCCCCCTGTCAACGCCTTTGAGGATACTCCGTTCACCCTTTCACCCTCGCCCACCCTCCTGGAGATCGATGAACACACAAAGGAGATACAGAGGGTTGGCACCGATTCCTTCCTGGAGTTCAAAGACCAAACGAAGGCGATACGCAGGGGCTGGCACCATGTCCTTTACCCCCGCTCCTCAACGACGCCCACCAAAATCACCGCGGAGACGCGCACCATCTCCCCCGTCCTCATCACCCGCGCCTACGTCCACCCCCCCCCCCCCCCTGGCAGCATGTCCTCTACCCCCGCACCATCTAGCCCGTCTCCATCACCGTGCCTACGTCGACCACCTCCCCTCCCTTCGAGGGGGCATCTGCAGTCTCCGAAGCCTGATAAGGATGTGTGTGTACAAAACACAACAAACTCTTACTGATATGTGATGGGTCCAGGCTCAAGGGCGTATGGCACTCTCAACTCTTTCCAGGACATGTCGGGGGCCCTGCCTGCCAGTAGCTTTGCCGATATCTGTGTTGATAGGTAATAGATTAAGAACGGTGAATCATAGAAACAGGAAGCGCTCAAACGTTTGTGTGAGTGTATCTAATTTAGCAGTGATTCCATGTCAGCCACAGCTTGTTCCAAAAAACATTACTGATAGTGTGTTTAACAAACTTAAACTAGCTTTATTAAATGTCAGGTCTTTGGCAGGAAAAACATTTTTAATCAATGATTTAATCACTGAGCACAATCTCGATTTTATGTTTTTAACAGAAACTTGGATTGAACAAAATAACAGTGCAGCTGTTCTTATCGAACTTCCTCCCAACTTTAGTTTTATGAGTCAGGAAAGAATGCATAAGAAAGGGGGTGGAGTTGCTATTCTGTTCAATGATTCTCTTCAATGCAGGAAGACATCATATGGAAACTTTGATTCTTTTGAATATGTTGCCCTTCAGCTGAAATGCTCCTCTCGAGCTCTGTTCCTAAATATCTATAGACCACCCAAATACTGTGCAAGCTTTTTTGATGACTTTACTGAACTGCTGTCTATAGTGTGTATTGACTTTGACCGTCTAGTCATTGTTGGTGATTTTAACATCCATGTTGACAACCCCCAGGACAGAGGGGCTAAAGAACTGTTTTGTGTTCTTGATAGCTATGGACTGACTCAGCATGTGACGGAGCCCACGCACAATAAGGGGCACACTCTGGACTTTAATTATCTCAAAGGGGTGTGAATATCTCTAAGGTTGTGGTGACTGATGTTGCACTCTCTGACCATTCCTGTGTTTTCTTTGAGATGCTCTATTTCTGTTCACAAAAATGTTCAAAAAGAGGGTAACCACAAAGCGATATTTAACTGAAATACTAGGGAAATGTTTACTCAGAATTTCTCTTCCACACTTGCCCCTGCCAACATCTCAGTAATGAGCTAGTAGATCATTTTAATTAAAAATTAAAAATGTTATAGATGCCATTGCTCCAACTAAGGTAAGGAAGTGTCTGGCAAGAAAATATCTCCATGGAGAAAGGCCATGACCGTGAAAACAGAAAAAAGAGAATGTCGAAAAGCTGAACGCAGGTGGCGAAAAACAAATCTCCAGGTTCACTTTGAAATCTATAAAGAGAGACTTGGCCTTTATAATTTGGAATTGGAAAAAACGCACGACAATCGTTCTTCTCTGACATCATTACCAAAAACAAAAACAACGTACGTGCCTTGTTTGCTACCGTCGACAGACTAACTAACCCCCCAGTGTCAGTAGCCTCTGGATTTCTATCCACCAGGGGCCTGCATGACTTTGCCTCCTTTTTCACACTGACAAAATTCAGAAAATCAGACAAGCAGTCAGTGCCTTCTGCATCAGGAACAGCAAATGTGTTGTCCCTATCTCCACTTAACATCAATTCAGACATCATGACACAATTCCATCAGATTAATGATAAAAACCTAGAGGACATTATTCAACTTCTGAAATCCTCCTCTTTGCTGCCTTGATATTATTCCAACAGGATTTTTTCAAAGATGTTTTGCCTTGCATGGCCTCAGATTCTACTTCATATAGTAAAACAAATCTCTCACTCAGGTATTTTTCCACAGGCCCTGAAAACTGCAGTCATTAAACCGCTCTTAAAAAATAATAATCTAGATGCTTCAGTAATGAACAATTACAGGCCCATATCAAACCAGCCATTTCTAGGTAAAATCATTGAAAAAGTTGTTTTTCAACAGTTGAGTAATTTCTTGCATTTAAATAACTGTTTTGATGTGTTCCAGTCAGGCTTTCGTCCAAACCACAGCACTGAGACTGCTCTTGTAAAGGTCTTTAATGACATCCACTTAAACACAGACAGTGGCAGAACTTCAGTGTTAGTATTATTAGATCTCAGTGCTGCGTTTGACACTGTTGACCACAGCATATTACTAGACCGACTGGAGAACTGGGTGGGACTTTCGGAAACAGTTCTAAATTGGTTTGAAATCCTACTTAAAGGACAGAAACAACTTTGTTTCTATAGGTAAATACACATCTGAGTTGACAAATATGACATGTGGGGTTCCTCAAGGCTCCATCTTGGGGCCCTCTTCTCTTTAACATCTACATGCTACCACTGGCTCAGATAATGAAGAACAACAAAATAAGTTACCATAGCTATGCAGATGACACACACATTTACGTAACAATTTCACCAGGGAGACTATGCTCCAATTCCAAACACTGAGTAAGTGCATTGAACAAATCAATGACTGGATGTGTCAGAACTTTCTCCAATTAAACAAAGATAAAACTGAGGTAATGGTTTTTGGAGCCAAGGCAGAACGTATAAAAGTTAGCGCTGAGCTTCAGTGTGCAATGTTCAAAACAACAGATAAAGCCAGAAATCTAGGTGTAGTCATGGACTCTGACCTGAGTTTCAACAGTTACATTAAAACTGTTACTAAATCAGCCTACTATCACCTAAAGAATATATCTAGGATTAAAAGACTAATGTCACAGCAGGATTTGGAAAAACTTGTCCATGCTTTTATCTTCAGTAGACTCGACTACTGCAATGGTGTCTTCACAGGTCTCACTAAAAAATCTATTAGGAAGCTGCAGCTAATTCAGAACGCTGCTGCTCGAGTCCTCACTAACACTAAGAAAGTGGATCACTCCAGTTCTGAAGTCTTTACACTGGCTTCCTGTGTGTCAAAGAATAGATTTCAAAATACTGCTGCTGGTTTATAAAGCACTGAATGGTTTAGGCCCAAAATACATTTCTGACCTCCTGCTAAATTATGAACCATCCAGATCTCTCAGGTCTTCAGGGACTGGTCAGCTTTCTGTCCCCAGAGTCAGAACTAAACATGGTAAAGGCAGCGTTCAGTTATTATGCTCCAAATATCTGGAACAAACTCCCAGAAACCTGCAGGTCCGCTGCAACCCTGACTACTTTAAATCCAGGCTGAAGACTTTTCTTTTTGTCGCTGCTTTTAATTGAACTATTCATATCTTAGACTGCACTGTAACTTTTAATCCATGTACTTTTTTCTTTTAATGTTTAATTGACAGCACTGTAACTTTTATCCATGTATTTTTTCTTTAATGTTTATTTTATTAGCTTTTCTTTTTAATGACTGATTTTAAATGCCATTTTCTTAATCTCTTTCATTTTTTGTAAAGCACTTTGAATTGCCTTGTGTTGAAAAGTGCTATATAAATAAACTTGCCTTGCCTTGCCTTGCCTTGCCTTGTATGATAGGACAGCACTTTTGTGATACTGAATTAAAGTAATAATAATTATATCAAAGGAAAGGTTGGCATTTTCAGAAAAAGCAAGCTGAAAGTTTTCCTATACAAAAAATAAGGGTAGCCTGTACATGGCAAGGCTTTGCGTTTCTTCATCTCAAACCCATATGGCAGTCCATCGCAAGTGCACCAAGGGGGGCTGCACCAATACTGCCCTATGATTCAGATCTGCTGACAAATGTAATGGGTTCTTCCTCGGCCTATGCTTTACCATTCCACCAAGTTTCATGAAAATGAGGCCAGCAGTTTTTCCATATTCCAGACCGACTTTGATTCTGGTAAAAGTGCAATGCTTTGAGCACCCCACACCAAATTCTGTTCACCTCCATTGTAATGGGGTGGAGGCAGAAAACTCATAGACGAAATTGAATTTATCAGCTTGACCCCATTTGGGACAAATATACTTATTTATGTTTTGCATCTCAATAATCTACTTTCCTGCATTCATATTAAAGTTTCTCTTTACATCATAATTCACTGTTGCTCGGACACACAATAATGACATGGGAATTGTTGACACAATATGTATTTGCATGAGGAGCATTTGATCCTAACAACACTGAGGGTCCTTCCCTCCGTCATCCTGTCATCAGGAGACACACCGGCGGCTGCTGCAGTGACATTCAGCTCCTTCTCTCCACAGCTGGATGTTTTAGTGCTCGCTGACTCCACCATTCACCACTGCTTTCACGAGGAAGCAGGCCTCAAAGCGTGACACTGAAGACCTTGGAGAGTGCTGCCCGTGAAATAGTTCATTGCAGGTGTCCGTGCAGGAACATTGGAGCCTCTGCATCGGACACAAAAGTCCCTCGACTAATGTGTCTGTGTAATGTGGGTGACCTCAGGAGGAGCTGTACTGAGGAGCCTCAGTGCATGGCGATGTCACTGCTTCTGGATCTGTGCACCACGCTGAGCAACAGCCACCGTGGATCCTGACTGTTGGCCCTTTGGTAGGTGAAGCTTCGTGCAAATGTAATCCCATTTTCCAGATCACTTCCCGCTGTTTTTCACCCTCAGCTGCCATTGGCTGCCCGGAGCGTGAGGCCTTCCTGCAGACCCGCCACACATGACTCCAGATGCTTTTGAAATGTAAATGGCTGATGTAATGCAACTTGACCGTCTCAAAGAAACTTTTCCAGGATATTCCGTGAATGACTCGGGCAAGCATCCAAAAGGACGTGGATGTGTGCAGAAATCCCCTTTTCTTTAAGACACTTGAAACACAAAGGTTATTATTTGTTGCATTGTTAAAGAGGCCCTTTTATGCTTTTGGGGTTTTCCCCTTCCTGTGGTGTGTTATGGCTTTTGAGCATGTAAATGGTTTGCAAAAGCTGAAATCCCAAAGTTCTCCCCAGAGGGAGTTGGAAACGCCTCCATTGGACTCCTTGGTTTGCTTCCGTAACATATTGACATCTCTATGTAACACTCACGCTTCTATTGGCTAGCGCTACCACACATTGTACATGATAGTCAATGTTGGGGACATCTCTAAACGGTTGACCAATCACAACAGAGTCTGCAAGCTAACCAATCAGAGCAGACATGCGCTCTGGTTTCAGACAGACGGTGAAATAAGGTGCTGCATCACAGGCAGTACGAACAAATAAACACATTTTTGAACATTAAAGCATGGAAACACGTCACAGTAGAGACAAAAATACAATAATTAACCTGAAAATTTGCATTATAGGGCCCTTTGAACATGTGCCCTATCTAGCTTTAACTACATGTATAGTGAGTACTCTACACAGACTATGTTTTATGAACACAAAGCATGACAAAACTCCACATCTACAACAACAAAAACGCTCCTCACATATTAATGCAGGTGATGACAAATACTATATGGTGTATTACTCACTGACAGTACAAAGAAGGACTTCACTTTTGTTACTTAAAGTACAAAGAATACTGTATTTTTCACTCCCTTTACTGAATGCTGCTTCATTAAAACCTTTGTATTCCTCTCATGGCTCGAGCGGCCCCCTTGGTCCAATATCTGACCACACCTCCACATTTATCATTTCTCCAGGAAGTCACACACAGATGTGCAGTGGGCTTGGTCCTTACAGGAAACGCTGATAATCTCGTTGTGGTGGATGCAGCAGTGACAGTCAGGAGAGCTCTGCAGTCTTTCGCTGAGAGTTCCCACAGACACCAAGCGTCACGTCTGAAATCAGAGCTCTGTAATGTAAACCAGACTTTCAACAGCTGGTGAGCGACATACAGTTAAACAACGAGCCCAGGACGGAGCAAACACAGGCTCTAGTTACCTGGAGACCATCCTCAGCTTGTAACTGAAAGAGAACATTTTAACGTTGACATTTGAGATTATTTAATGCATCATCAGTGACAAGTTATGTTTCCCTGTGTAATTCCTACAAGAAGAAACGCTGGAGAGTTTTTAAAGGAACATGCTCATTGGTTTCTTGCAGAGCTCAAGTTATGGGATGATTGCTACGACTCCGTTTGTTAAATATAAAGCTACAATTTTAGACAAAATATCCAACAATACTTATATCAACATTGAGTGTTAACTTTTCATTATGTGATTTGATCATAATAAATACAACATTGAATTCATTGTAAATGTATTGATTATCTATGGTACATTTTAATTTAAAAAAGTTGACCATATTTCAGTGGATTTGTATTTGAGTTTCAGGAATATATTAAGACTCTTAAATACAAACAAATGTAGTTAAATGTATTTTTTCAAATTATAGTTTTTCTGTAGCATTATGCAAAGTACATGTCTGGAATATTTGTATAATTAAATGTTTAATCAATAAAGATAAATAAGCAGAGTTCCCAAAACGTCAAACTAATTATTTCTTTAGCTCCAGGGTGTTCGTAAATGAAAAGCTGTGGCTGTGGAGGAACCGAACAGCAAAGGAACAACACTTTAACATTTACTGTGATACAACACTGTTAATGTTATATGGAATAAAACGTGTCAAAAGAAAAACCTTACACTGTGAGGATCTTTATGATGTTTTATTCCAGCACAAGTCTTTTGTGTTGTAAAATGGCTGTGTCGCTAGGAATTAAAGGAGAAGTACAAAATGGTAAATTACAGACAGCTCTAGAATAATTTGTTTAAATCCCTATTGTGTTTATTTCCTAAAACCACATCAAGGAAAAACATTATTTCCCTGCCTTCTTTGGAAACATGGTCAGATAATACAAAAATAAAATAAAAAGCTGGAGAAAAAAAAAAGGAAGAAGGATGAAGCTTCATTTCAAGTCACTCACACACTGGAGGGGAATCTGAAAGGGCCGCGAATGAATCACATCACCAGCCTGATTTAAACGTGTTCCCTACCCGGTCAGGTAGCCCTTTTTTTGCATTTCACTCACAGTTTCTAGCAACAGTGGCACACAGGGAGGGCAGTAAAATACTCAAATGCACCATTTATGCATTCGTTTATGACAACAATAATTGGTGCTCCTCCATCATTTTCCTAATCGAAGCAGGCTAAGCAATTACATAAAATCAACTTTAAACATTAGGTACATTCGAGAGAAAAGCTGCGTCATTGCAGGCCCTGCCAGAGTTCCCCTCACAAGTGAAGAGTGATCCCTTCTCCACTCCAAGTTATAGCTCGACATCACTTTTTTTTTGTTTACAAATGTTTGTCACAAGGGAGTGTGAGGAAACAGCATTATCTGGGACTGTGGTCTACCTGGACATCAGGTAAGGCTTGATAGTCGAGGTTTTCCCACTAAATCCTGATTTGAAATGTACAATGGTACACATTTGAAAGTGGGCCCATGTGTCACTGTGCAAACATTGTGTCAGCCAGCACACGGACGTACAGTAGCTCTAATGTCTGAAGCACACAACAACTTCCAGGTCAAACATTTAAAAATGAAATAAAAACAAAAAAAAAAGGTTAACACTGAGAAGTGAAGGGAAAATCCTCGCTTTCTTTTTTTTTTAAACATTCATGATATTTTAAACAAAAATTCTCTGAAATAATCACGGACCAAAAGAGAGAAAGAAACGCTGCCGTCATTTCCAACAATTAAAACTCTTCCTCACCTTTGTTATGTACAAGATTTAAACATACCATGACATGAGGACGACAGTTTCATGTAATTTAAAATGAAATCTAATTCGACCACTCGTGGTGAAATCGCCGCCGCACTCTGACGTCACAGAGCAACACGACATGATTCATATATATCAAAAGAGGGGGGAAAAGACAACCACACACACTCACTTAGGCAGGTTATGCTGTAAATGTACAGTAATGACACCTATAGTTCTGTAAGCCAAAATCTCTATTTTAGAATGCTGAACATTAGGGTAGCTTTCTATAAAAATCATATTTTTTCCCCATGTCTTTTCCCCACCCGACGACACTAAGCATATGGCTTAAATATTTGTAAAACTATGTAGTCCAATGGGGGATAAGAGTCTCTGCCTTCTCAGTCTGGCTCGCTGAGATGATCCTTCAAGGATACTCTGCTGTGTGTAGCTGCACATGGCTGTGTGTGCATGTGTGTGTATGTGTATGTGTATGTGTATGTATTACTTTTTAGTTGATCAGACTGCAATTTCTTGCCCTGCGTGCCAACCTTTTTTTCTGCTGTGCAATAAAATGAGCACTACGGCACTGTCTCCTCTTCCTCCCTTTAACGTCTGACACAGAAACGATCCCTAAAACAAGCGCCGCATCATAGCCGCCGTTCCCACTTAGGCTCTCAGCAGGGCTGCCAGTGTAAACATTATCCCCCTTTTCTCACAATACTGCCTCGATAGACAGGCGACAAACAGGAAAACAAAAAGTCAACAAAAAGACATCATCAACAAAATACAATGGCCGTCGTTTTTTGGAGATATGCAGGTTAGGGGAAGAAAACAAAAATAAAATGAAAAACATTGACAGCTACCACGCAGGAACATTTCCTGGGACAGGGAGCAGTTAGGGCAGTATGGATCCTTAGTGCAATGAAGCCAGAGGAGCGGCAGCCTCAGCGTCCACAGCCGCTCGCTCTGGAAGGTGTCAGCGGGCTGAAAGAGAGGTCCAGTGGGCTTCATCAACTCTCGCCAGGAAGAAGATTAAGGGCAGACATTATGCTTCTAGTCACATACATCCAGTCACACACACACATGTTCATACATACTTTATACTCTGTAAAACTACAACGGCTAAAGCCTAGAGGGGAAGAGAGAGTTCGGTCCAGAGCGTCCTCCGGAGGAGTCCTGAGCCTCATTTTTCGTTCACTTCCAATACAAGTTATGTCAGTGTGAGTGCCTACATGTATGAGGACGTGTAAACATCAAAATGTGAGTCGTGACGAGTGCGAGAGATTATTCTGCTAGGCCGTTGGAGCGAGTGTGTGGTTTAGGTTTGTGTGCAAGTTAACTATGCCTGTGACCAGTTCCTTATTGTATTTGTTTTCTGTGTGTTCCTCATGTTTTTTTTGTTTTGCTATTAAGTCTCTCCACTGTTGTAAATGTACATTCATCCATCGTAGGGGGCAAGTGTGACGCTGGGCCACACACCAACTGATCCTGAGGCTCTTCCAGCGGTCCAATAAAGACTCTCGCCTCATCAGCGCGCTCAAAATAAACAGCAGTAGAGGTACTGGAGGACGCTGTACCACGCGTAGCCCGAGGCGAACGCAATCGACTGGACAACGCACAGCCACACGGGGTCGAGGATCATCGGCCGGGACGCCACATCCTTCTGTCCGTCTTGAGGGGGGAATGACCCTGTGGAGGACAGAAATACAGACCAGTCACTTTTGTGCTCCTTTTTATTTTTCGGAAGATTTAAACCAAGATGTTGTGATTTTTGGGTCAAACTGAAATCCTCATGGAACTTTTTGCATACCATTTCCAAGCACAGAAACTTATACAACACACTACAGGAAATGGAACACCCCAAAACAAATCACAATAGGGCCCCTTTAATTTATTTTAGCTCAACAATATGATGTGAACATGCCAGGTATTGAGGACTAAGACTTCTGGACTACTTGTTCCAGTGAGTTTTGACTGACTCGTCATTTGCAGTCAACACATGCATACAAGAAAATGTGACAAGAAACATTGTTTTCCATATTTTGAGTAGTAATAATCAGGTTTCCTGCAGATAGATGTCTTGGCCATGCATGAACAGGGTATATGCAGGAATCCTGAAGTCAAATGTAATACCTTTGAAGACCTTTTTTAAGACCCTTTCCATACATTTTAAGACCTCATCGCAACTTCGAGTTCTAACCGGTTACATTGGCGACACACTTTACCTCACATTTACTATATTGATTGTAAGATAGCACAACTAAACAGAGTGCAGACGGACTACTGAAGCCTCCTCTCCACATGAACTTCAACCTCTCTGTGAAGGTCAGGTTTAATGCAGTATGCTGCTTTGTTGCTTCTGTACTCTGTGCTCTTTCATTCCAGTAAAACTCCTCAGAAACCATTAGAAACCAGTATTTGACCAATAAACAACAATTGACAAAACTTTGAACTATGAAATATATTACATTTTGGTGAGCTTCAGCGGGGTAATGCCATATAGGAGCTCCCTCACAAATACCCAGGGGTTAAATTGGGCTGGGGCTGTCCGGGGCTAAGCCCGGCACATAGGACGATGCTCTGACGTCATCACCCTCACACATTTGTCATATGTTTACAAAAAACAATATATATGTTAAGACTTTTCTCGTTCTTAATATAGACTATATTTAGCGTCGATATGTGTTGACCTTACTTTAAAATAGCAGATCTCTGTGACCGGATATAGTTTGGCTTAGACCCCGGCCCCACGAGGACGCATACAGTAAAACGCATATGCAAACGCAAAAAAGTCTTCCGTTCACACGCATTCGATTAATTAACGTGTCCGTTCACACTAGACCGCTGGAAATGCTGGAAACGCTGTAGTACATATGCCAGGCCTGTAAGTGGCGCTGCTGCCGCCACAAAATACACCAAAAGCAGCGAAGAAGACCCCGGAGCATGGTTGTCATGGTTGCCCTTCTGTTTATTCTCCGCGGTGGACGGCGTGTTCTCCTGCTGTATATCTCTCAGGTAGTCCACCAGCAGATAAACCTCCCCCCCCCCCCCCCCCCACAGAGCGGAGCAAGGCAACGAAACTTAAAATAAGAAGCAGCATTTTATGGCACGCTATGCATGGGGCCGCCTTGAGGGGGTTTCCCAACATGTTGTTTCAGTAAATTAAAGGGTGTTTCATGTTGTCGTTGCTGTGGACCTTCTTAATACCTTGGAAAATGCCGTTTAATACTTTTTAATAGCCTTAATTTTCGCTAAATTGATTGATCAACTTTTAATACTTTTTAAGACCCCGCAGACACCCTGATGAAGGGAATCCTATTATTCTCAATAACCCTCATTAAAAACCACAGGTTAGGGTACAGGCAAAGTATCCCTATGATTAGAAAACAAAAACAAAGAAGCCTTTAAAAGTGTAATTACATCTGTTAGAGCTTCCACTTATCCACCTACAACAAGCGGAGTTGAGTACAAAGTAGTGTCAAATGGATGGATCCTGCTAAATGTTGTAAATGAGGGTTTCTAAATTCCTAATGGTGTAAGTAGGAGGCATTATATGATGCCAGTGCTGTATCACGGATGTTGACAGTCTGTCTCCTAGCAACAGTGGCCCTCAACTGTCAGTCAAACGTTGCTAAGGGAAACGCCCACTCAGAGGAGTACAGCTCGGACAAATATGTGTTCATAAAATACGCTTTTGAAAAACATGTGCGCCACAGCTGCAGTATATATCTAGTATATTTCATATATGTTTATACTGAAGGATGGAGGAACAGACCTTTGGCGTAGAAGTGGTTCAGCAGCTCTTCCTTCTCCACAAACCTCTGATACAGCCAGTCAGTCAGGGCCTCTGCCTCCACAGGAACCTCTTTTATTGGGTACATCCTGCAGGAGAAGGGAGACAGGCAGACAGGGGGTGAGATGAAACTCAGAAAAGGATCACTGAAGTCTCTCTCAGCACAAACGCTCTAAATTGATCGTGGAAGCTGTGGTCCCTGAGCGCAGACGTCTGTCAGACCGGAGTCTATTACAGTGTGTGTGCTGCTGTAGCGGCAGCTTGTTTTGGGGATTAACTAACCGGCCGCCTCATCAGAGAGAGAGACAGGAGTGCTGAGGGGAGCCTGACAGGAGACACACAAAATGCTTTGGTAACAAGTGTGTGGGAGGAGACACAGAAAAAGTAAAAATCAATGTTGCCACCAAGACTTAGAGAGGCAGCACTATTAGATTCTGCCAACCATGGAAAACTCTTTCATCTGTGTTGGGGACAGGGAGTGATTAGTTGGCTGTGAGTAATGATTATTTAAATATATAGATAATATACTGTTAAGTTTTTTAGATAAACCAAAGAATTTCAGCAAACAGTAAAACTGCCCATTCTTACTTTCACAGAACAGTTAGTTTGAAAATGTTGGTTTAACAAAGTCAAATGTTGAGAAAAAAAAGCATGATACATCCCTTAATAAAACAATTCAGAAACGATATTGGGAAGACACTTCAAACCACTAAAAATATTTACAAAAAGCCTTTCAAACCAAACGCATAACTGTGCTAAAGTAGGATGAATATGTGGTTCTGTTTACTTGCTATACCCTGATGAAGACAATATAATCTGATAGTAAATCATGGATTAAGCTCACACGCGTCTAACTCGCTGTTTGTGCACGCTCAAAAAAGGTATAAATGTTTCTGCCCCCCCAAAACATCAGTCAGAGAATTCTTGACTTAAAAATCTACTTCGATGCCAATCTATTTAATGTCAAACCTGACTAATTGTTTCATCTTTATTCATTAGCCTGACTAACATCTAGTTGTCAATCTCCACTAGCTCCTTTAATTCTCAGATTAGCCACCTCCTGCCACACATAACAAACGCTTTTTTTTTTTTTAAAGGTTGTAATAAGCAGTGCAGGACCGCTGTAAAAAGAGTGCTGGTGAGGAGTGTAACCAGAAGGGGTCCCCAGCAGGCTGCGCTGAAAACACTCTGCTCACCTTCAGACAGAGGTTACCGTCTCCTCCCTCAGACCAGCGTTTCCTGCACTTAACATTTGCTCAATATTCCCGACTCGGTATTGTCCTTCGTAGAAGTACACATGTGCGTACGAGGAGAGCTTCTGTAAGAGGGAAGTAATAAGTGATACGGTATTGGTTTCCTGAAGGCATCAATGTACTAAAAAAGCAATTTAAGGAAAAGACAGCAGCACTGTCAAGAGGATGTCTTGTGGTTTGAATCCAGTTTAAGGACAAAGACACCCCCTCTTTGACCCCTCTGTTGTGGGTGAGAAAACATGACTTCATCATAAGCCATAATACCCTGAGTTAAAATAGGTTTTTTAAAATAGGAAAGAGTCAAGAGTTCTCCAACAGGGGTGATTGTTTTGAAGTGTAGCTTGAGTCTGGATACATTGTGAAATATGTGATTTTTGAAAGTGCTTTTATTCTGATAATTAGCAGAAATGTCTCATTTCAGAAATAATGAGCGACTAAACCAATGAAATGTTCATCATGTCACTTTTTCGGGAAACTGCCCAACAATCTTTCCTGAAATGTTAGAATTTAGTTTTTGTATTTGTCTTATTTAATTATGGACTCTTGGACAGATTGTCAGATGAAGCAACACAAGTCATCAAGGCTGGCTCTGAAGAATTATAATAATAATTCTGACATTTTAGAGACAAAATGATTCATCCAGAAAAGGTTCATTCATAATGTAAAAAGAGTTGATTGCTGTGCTGATACATGTAATTAAATGTTAAATCAAAAACATGTCCAAACGTAGTGTCCACATGACAAATGTAATGTTATGACATAACGTAGTATATTTAGAAGTTGAACATACGCTGTTGGAGCCAATTTGCTTTGGGTTGTGCACGGGGTTTGTCTATGTGTGTGTGAACGCGTCATCATCCAATCTGCGCACCTGGGAGCATGGGAGGTAATTAACCTAGATATGTGGGCACAGGTGATCAGCTGGGATGAGAGGTTAGAGAGGAAGCCACACGTTTTTCAACCGCGTTGACCGTGATTGTTTGTGTCTGAGCGTGTGCGTGATCGTTATGTTTTAAAACAAGATTTTAGATATGTGAGTCGTAAAATAACTTTTTAACCTTGGACAAATAAATAAAAGCATTACCAATTACGTCATGGTGGACCTCATCCTTCACCACAACACGCGTTGGGAACTCTGATTGCTAACCTCCATGAGTGGCCTTTTTTGATGAGCGATCGCCGCTACATACGCTTTAAATAAGGGCAGGAGCTGAGGGTTCAGCAGTGACTTGTGTTTGTTTGGTACAGTTATCCACGGACTCTCTACTCATTATCCGGCAGTTCACTGTGTGTGCTTCGCTCTGTGGCGAGGCACAACAAGGTCCTGTTTCAGTGGAGAAACTTTGATGTCCCTTGCAGCATCATAAACTCCTGTTAAATCCAACATAAAAAATATTCAACTTATTGTCATTACGTAGTACAGGTACTATGTAACGAAACGGTTCCGCATTTGACCCATCCTAGTGTGGGCTGCCATTATACGGCACCCGGGGAGCAGTGTAGGGAACGGTGCCTTGCTCAGGGACACCTCGGTAGCACTTGGTCTTTCCGGGACTTGAACTGGTGACCTTCCAGTTGCCAAGCCAAGTCCCTATGGACTTCACCACCAGCGCCCACTGACTAAAATCCACCAGTCTCTAAAAGGTCTGCAGGGTTTCCCACACATAGACTATACTTGGGCGGGCCGCCCAGGTATATTAACGGCCGCCCAAGTATATTTCGCGACCCATTTAGTTTTGTTTTTTTTTATATAGATTTTTTTTATTCGTCCGTGACCACGACGCCATCTGCGATCGATTAACTTGTAGACAATGATCCCTCGCTCCCTTGCTCTGATCTCGCCTCCTTCTGGCATGTTAAGTGGCCTGCCTCACACAGGGTGACTGGCTGTCCACATGATGTGGCCTGCCGACATGGCCACTGTCATACAGATCATAAATCAAAGCCCTTGATTGGTCTCTGTGTGTCATTCAAGCTCGGGATAACCTCAGCTCAGGTGAGGTAAAGGACTCTCTGAGTGTTTAGATAGTTAACTTAGTCTAAGTTCTCAGTGGGTCTCAAACGGTGTGGTCACCATTTATGTAAACACATATTTCCATTTGAGAGGGTAGTGATTGGTCTAATGGATAGTGAGGTGGGCTGAAGATCGGAAGGCTGTGAGTTCAAATCCCGCCAGGAACACCACCACTAGTGTGCCCATAAGGCACTTAGCCCTTAGTTACTCCAGGGAGAATGTCCCTGTAATCGGTCATTATAAGTCGCTTTGGATAAAAGCGTCAGCTAAATGAAATGTAATGTGATTAGTAAAATATGCATGAATAAATAAATAAAAAGTTAACTAGGTGAAAAAAGTTAAGATACACTTTTAAAACTTGTTGAGAGAAAACTAGTCTTTGCTGCTGCCTCAAAGAGGAGCAGGGGGAGAGGATGGAGAGGGGGGAGAGGAGGGAGACAGGAGAGGCTGATTCAGGAGCACAGACACACTCACAACTATAAATGAACCAAAACTAAATTAATAAACAAGTTTCAGTGTTTTTTTCATATTGGAAATGGTATGTTATTGGTTATGGCCTTGATTTTATGATTATTGAAATGTATACAGTTCTGTTTAATATAGGTGTTTCCATAGATCTAGTCTCTTTATTTTCCCCTCAAAATGCACCAGATTGATGCATTTAACTCCAAAATAAAAAATAAAATCTTACCGGGGGGGCATGCCCCTGGACCCCCCCTAGAGGATTTGAGGTCGACCCCCACTAAAAATCACATGGATAGGTTCCTAAATACATTAATAAATACATTTATTTTTTAAAATAGTAACCCATTTCCATATGTTCATGTGTGGGTAGTAGATTTAAACTATAGGGCTATCATTATGGACCCTGCCTGTACCTGTACCTGTTCGCTCTGCCATCGCGTGAAGGGTCTGCTAACAAGCGACCAACAGAAAGGTTAATGTTGTTGCACGTCACCTCAACCCCCCCCCCGCTACCACCACCCCCCAAAGTATATTTCAGATCTGTGGGAAACACTGGCAGTTAATGGACCAGCACCAGAGGCATTCCCATACACACAGGCGTTGGAGCTGTTCTTCATGAAATCCCAGAAGGATGAAGTGCTCTGACAAACAGTGCCATCTTTGCGCAAAATGATTATACCGGAATGAAAAGTCAATAAATAATGTTGTTAAAACTTTTTTTTTTTTCGCGCGGAAAATGATTGAAAATATTCTAAATATAGTGTACACTTACATCGATATTGATTATTAAGGTGTGTCTTGTCTTAGGTTGCTAAAATACATGTTGCTTTTGTCCCCCTCAGAGCGTACAGTACATTCCTCCGTCAATCTTACGCATACAACTTCACTTGTAACGGTGCGTTTTTCCTGAGAAGTGATTGGTGACGGCGGTGTTGTGGTCATTAAATAGTAAATGTATGAATGATTAAATCTAACCCATGCAAGCCAACAGAGCGTTTCACACCTGCTGCAGAGAGGACGCCTGCCAGGGGCCCTCTCCTCGACTCTTAAATGTAAACCGATAGCTGTGTAATCCTGCCGGGCTTCGGTCACTTATCAGAAGCATTTAGTGACTCGGGGAGCATGTGGAGGCCACAACGCTTTCATGCAGCTGAAATATTCATGGAGGAATCCGGATCTTTGGTGTCCAGCTGAGGCTGGAGGAGGCGCTGCTCGTTTGGGTCTACAGCATAAAGACATGCTGAGATCAGAGTTCCCGTTAGAATATTTTTTTTGCCGGTCAAAATGTCCATTAAAATTGAAACCTTCCGGACAAAAGGAGAAAAGTGCCGGTCAAAGGTCTTCTTTGTTATTTATT